TAACAATAGGCAAGATCTACCAGTTCCATCTTTTTATATGTCAGAAGTTCAATCTCTATTGTTACCTTAATTCAGACTGCCATTATCTACTTCTCTACAACATTCTATAATTTACTGCTTATAAATTGTGTGATGGATACAAATTAAGAGTTAAATATATCATTTGAGTGAATGAAGCATTTAGGCTTTTACAAAATAGTTACAATATTTTAAAAATATGTAGAGAACGCTCACTTCAGCAGCTCATATATTAAAATTGGGACAATACAGAGAAAATTAGCATGGTTCCTAAGCAAAGATGACACACAAATTTGTGAAGCATTTCATGTTTTTAAGGATTTAAAATCAGCATACTACAGTGATGTGGCCATATCAATGTTTATAGAAGATCAATTCACAATAGTTAAGCCATGGAACCCAAGTAGGGGCCCTTCAAGATATGAATGGATAAGAAAACATGGTGCATATACCATTAAAGKAGAAGAAATTATGACATTTGTTGGTAAATGGATGGAACTAGAGACGATCATGGTAAGTGAAATAAGCCAATCCCCAAAAACCAAAGAATGTTCTCCCTAATATTCGGATGCTAACTCACAATAAGCAGCAGGAAGAATATAAATTCACTTGATTAGACAAAGGGAAATGATAGAAGGGAAGGGAAAGGAAATAAGAAGAGTAGAATGAATCAGACATAATTTTCCTATGTGCATATATGAGTACATGACCAGTGTAACTACACATCTTGTACAACTACAAAAATGGAAAGTTATACTCCATATATGATTGATATGTCAAAATATATTCTATTGTCATGTAAAACTGAAGAGAAGAAAGGGAAAAAGAAGGAAATAGAGGAAGGAAGGAAGAAAGGAAGGAAGAAAGAAAAAGAAGCAAGCATAGAGGACTTTAAAGCTTTCTGTATGCTTGGAAACCAACTGTATTCTAAATAAACTGTTTGCTTTTTATGAATAAGAAGATAGGGATAGTGATATAACTTACCACTGTTCTTGTATGTGGGAAGCCCTGAGTTCAACACTCAGCCCTGTAAACCCACATACACAAAGATATATGCTTCGATTGTCTTGTTTAAATTTCTGAC